GTCATTCCTGTCGAAATCGGTGTCCCAAGCCTAAGAATCAGCCACTTTGAACCAGCTCGAAATGAGCGTCTACTAAGGGAAAACCTTGATTTCCTAGACGAAGTCCGAGAGCAATCCCGACTTCGGACTCTAGCATACAAACAAAGGATAACCAACCTTTACAATAAGCGAGTCCGACCTCGAAACTTCAGAGTCGGTGACCTCGTCCTCAGAAAAGCTGGGCTCACAGGGTTCGAAACCCGATATGGCAAGCTAGCACCAAACTGGGAAGGCCCTTACATTGTAACCGAGGTCCCGCACCCTAGGGCATACATTCTCCAAGACGCCGAGGGCAAAAGGGTGCCTAGAGTTTGGAACGTCAACAACCTTAAAAAATTCCATCCTTGAAAGTCCCTTTCTTCATTTTGAGTTAGGAGTCTTTGTAAATAACATTCCAATACAATTGAAGACGACGTCACTGAAGGACGAAGTCGATTTCACTTCAAACTTAATTGTGTTAACAATGTTATTTTAACCTCTCCCATTTCGGATCACATCCAGAAACAGTAAAAAAGAATCAAATTCATTCCATTAATCTCTAATCGTTTACAAAGAATATCTCAAAAAAAAAAAAAAAAATCTAAGGGCCCAAGGCCGAGTCTACTTAGCAGTCTAGTCCGGGATGGCCGAAGGCTGCACGGGGTTATCCGTCGGTTGGTCAACGCCTCTAGTCGACTTCTCAGCACCGTCAGTGACCTCGTCACCTTCGTCTCCCTCGTCCACCACCACAAATTCAAAACTGAACTTGGGAGGCAAAATGGTTTGACCCCTGCTGTCCTTCTCCCACTTCAGTGTTATCTCCGGGCGGAAGTCAGCAGTATAGCTCTCCCCATTTTCCTCCACCTCCCCTTCCTGCTCTCCGAAGGTAACCTTCGTCACATCGACATCAGGATACACCAGTTTTACCTTCTTCCGGCAGTCAGAGAAGGCCAAAATGGCAGTAGGAAGGCGATAGAGGTTGATGATATCCTCGAAGGTGCTGGACTTTAGGAACCCCTCCACATGCTCCTCAACTGAGTTGTGAACCTTAAGCTCCAACTCAGCCACCACCTTCCCCGCCTCCTCCACCTCCTTCTCCCTCTTCTCCAACTCGGCCTCACATATCTTCCTCTTCTGGTACGAGTTTTCCGAGTCCTTTTTGAGGGTAGCGTTCTCCTTCCGGAGCTCCTCCATCTCAGCCTTCAACTTCGCCACCTCGGCCTCGGCAGCCTCGCTCTTCTTAACAAGCTCAGCGTTCTCCTTCCGCATCTGGTTCCTCTCTTTTAAACTCTCGTGATGCTCATTGGCCAAAGCATTCACAAGATTAACAGCCTGCATGACCAAACCGCCCCAACTCGTCAAACACTTAACAAAATCAGAATCCTTAAACTCCAACCGGGGCAAAGAGATTATACCTCCAGTGTTTGGCGGACAACGCCAACCGAACCCCGGGCAACCACCTCGTCCTTCGCGCGCTGGCGATCCACCTCTGGGAAGTAGGTGTTGATGAACCTCTTCGCTGTGCTCCTCATCCCGGAGTCATAAAAACTGGTCGTTTGCGCTCGGATGTACCCGTGCTCCCGAAGCGTAGCAGCAAACTCGGCAGCTGAGGCTGACGAGGTCCCTTCCAGGCGAAGAGTTGAAGTCGCAGGCGCTGGCACCTCCTCCAATTCCACCACGGCCCCTTGTTGCTCCAACCTCCTCCTCTTCGCCACAATGGGCCCCTCCTCAACAACCGTCACTTCCCCCCTCAGCATGGCTAGGTTGAGTGATGGCTAAGTTATCCAATTCAGCTTGAGGCAGTGAAACCTCCTCCACCCGCCTCCTGGCCTCGCCTCTCTTCCCTCTTCCCTTCTTCAGGATCCCAGCTCCACCAGCTGCGTCCAGAAACTTGTTCATCTCTTCTGCAAAACAAAGCAAGGTTAAACCCTGATCAGAATTCTTAAAGTACATCAACAATTAAAAGTAACACACCTCCCAATTGCGAGCTCGGCCTATATATCTCAGCCGCGTCTAACATCCTCTGGCTCGTGTACTCCATAATGTCCAACGAACCCACACCTCCTTTTTCCAACTCCCCCACATCTTCTAACTCCCTCGAGGTCAGACTATACTCATTGAGGTTTAACCCTTTCGTCTTCCAACGACTCAAGTGTTCCACCTCAGCATCAGTCTTATCCCACTCCGTATCATCCGCAAAAAAGAATTTATCTTTCCACCCTTTGATGGAAGATGGCTTGGGGCTAAATAAACCCCTCCTTTGCCTACCTACCACCCGGCCTGTAAAGTAAAACCACCCCTTTTCCCTACCACTCCCAGCATTCAAGACGTAAAAGTACTTGAATACGTTAGCGGTAAGAAAACTCACCCCCCGACTTCGGCTATACACTGCAAACGCCACCACTAACCTGACGGCATTGGGGGTGAGTTGCGTTAGCCCCAGACCATACTCCAACAACAACCATACCAACAGGTCTGGGAGAGGGAATCGCAACCCAGCCGCCAGGTAATGAGAGTAGAGAGGCATCTAGTGGTCCCTCGGGGCCGAACACGCCCTCTCCCTACTCCCCGCCGGCCTCACCAACACACGCCCGGGCACCCCATAGTTCTCAACCAAATGGGCCAAACTACCCCTATTCTCCAAACTTGTTTCATACCCTGCCACCTCACCAACAACTTCCTCCTCAGGGTTGAAACACGGCTCTCTTCCATCCTCTCTCTCCAAAATGTTCGATGGCACCCCCAAATCCCTACCTTCTGCCTCCTCAACCCTTCCCCTCACTCTACCATCACTAAGTGTCTCTTCAGAAGACATTCTCACAACAAAGAAAGGTAGAAAAAGACACTCGAATGCTCGCAAATTACCTGGTCTCTGCGAAAACGGACGAACAGCGATTGAGTACAGGTACACCGGTGACTTTTCCAAAAGCTAAACAGCAAAATGGGTTGAATTTTTCTAACTCAACATATATATACATGACGGCAAAACGTACTTTGACGGTCACGGTTACCTTTCTCAAACCGTCACGACTGTGCCCCTTCAAATTCGCCGTCTAATTTAACGCCGCGTCCCTTCGAATGTGACGGTTACTTT